TGCTTTGAATTTCTCTTGTGAATTTCATGCAGAAGTCCTTCTACTTACTGTGCGCATTTTATGGAGATAGTTTTGCTCGGAAATTAGCAAACCGTTTAATTCCAAAGAGCGCTGAACCTTAGCTACTTCTCCCATTTAACGTGAGGGCTGCAGTGACAGCAGCTGCAGTCCTGGAGCAAACACTGCGGCTGGATTGGGGGCCCGGAGCAACAGTGCCCTTAGGCTAAGTTTAACCATCCAAGGGCGGAGATGCTGGGGTCGCCCAGAACATCTGGATGAAAAGGAAACATCTGGATGGATGTGTCTTGGTATGTAGACCTTGTATCTAGATGACTAGTTGAGAATTCTACTTTTCTTCCAGATATCCAAAGCCTGTTTCTGGAGATTTCTGTCTTCGAGGTATTTCTTCCTCCTGGGGACTCAAATGCATCAGGGAAATCATGAGATTTTCTTTCTGCCTTTGTTCTTGTTGTAGGATGGTGGTGGTGGTTAGGAGATAGGTACATTGCTCTTAATATTGTAATCAGTTTTTTTAAACCCTTTTTAAAGGATTTAGATCTGCTTCTTTAAGTTTTTGAAGTGCAAAAATATTTCTGTCCTGCCTCAATTGTGAAATTTGAAACTGTGATTGAAAGAGATGAATCGTGATAATGTTATGCTTATGAATGGGAATTCTTACAAAAGCACCATCTCCCTGTCTGCTGTGGGTGAAGATTATTTTAGGTCCTCACTCACGCTGGCTTTCCCTTCTGACTTGTTTATATTCTCAGAGTATAAAAATACAGTAGTCAGAGAGCTCCTCTCAGGGAGTCTGCATTTAGTTCTTCTCAGAGGAGTCCTTTCTAAATGGACTCTGGTATCATTTTAGCACACATTGTTTGCTGAAATCTGAGCTGCCCAGGGAAATTAGAGCAGTTAATTTAATATTGTGAACGTTTTGGGGCTTCCAGGCTTAGTCACAGGCAGAAAAGTGTAAATCAAATTGAGTTTTCTGTATAAAGTAGATGACAATGAAAGTTGCTTCCAAAAACCAGCCCAGCTTTCCCCCATCTGCTGCCTTCCCGCTCCTCATCTTCACGCTGGGCCCACAGAAATTCACGTTATTCCAACCTTCTCCCCAGATGCTCCCTCAGGGGAGGTCTGTGTGGCAGAAAGCTCCCAGTGTGGTCATAGAGGGAATGCTACCACCATTACCCCCTGTTAATAGGGCCATAGGGCCGCAGCCAGGACTGTGGAGCTCATGGCTTAGCATCTCCCACCATGTAGTCTGAGCCCAGCCCTGCTGTACTTCAGGACAAGGACTTACCCCTGCAACCACGCGTGACCAGCTGGGAAGTCCCTGGCACTCTGCTAGGCACCAGGGCAGGCTGTTTTGTATGGTAAAATTGGATTCGGTAACAGTGCAATATATACCTCTTACTGCCATGGGAAAAATAGAGCGCCATCAGGCATCCTAAGACTGCCGAGTTCTCTGTGCTCCCCTTTCTAAAGTTCCTTTTGCACATACAAGCCTCCTGAGTAATGGAGTAGGGAGTGAGCAATGGGCTTTTTGCTTTGTTATTAAGAGGATCTTTGAAGGAGTCCTTTCAAAGCCATGAATTGGACCTTTGACCTGAGAGCTTAGAACACAGTTCAGCAGCCTCCATCAACCCCCAGAAACAAACTGCTAGCTAAGTCAAAGGCTTTGGCCTTAGCTCTGGCAGATTCTCTGTGTGTTTAGTCGTGCTCCACTCCTAACACCTGCAAAGAAATGCTGGGCTTGCATTTATTTTGTACTCCCTACTCCATACTTCAGGACTAACTTTTGCATGTCTGAGATGTAATTTTGAAAGAGAAAGAACCCTTATCTGAACCAAGCGTGTATTTACTTTGCTTTAGGGGCTAGTTTATTTGCATGAAATACCAGGATTGATTACAGACAATTAATGACCTTTTTATGAACACTCTGATACTCGGTGCCATAAAGATATTATAGCTGGACAGTGAAGTAATTCTCAGGTTTTCGTTTGCTTGACGTGACCCTCCTAGGCCTTGTACCCCTGTAGAACAATGCAGATGGGGAACGACTGACAACTGAGGCTGGGAGACTGTTTATCTGTGAGTAGAGTGAAAGGACACAATCTTGGTTATAATAAATGTTTTCCAGAAGAGCACACTTCTGCATAAATATTTGAAATTTTGATACATTTCATACATTCTAAACCAGTCTATAAAAATACACGTACAGAGATGCTTCTGATATTAAAGCTCGGTTTTCCCCATTACTAATAAACGAGTAGGTGCCAACTCGTGCCACCCACTGAACCTGTTTAAACATCATGGCACACTGATCATGTGTGACACCTCTCTGCTTTCAGCCTCACAGCGACCAAGCCCCACCTAAGACTCTGTCCCCACTGTGCCAGTACCCTTGGTGGCCAGGCTCCAATGGGACGCTGACTAGTGGGTTTTGATTTTCATCTTTCGCACGTGTCCTTTCCCTCACCCTTTTTAATCTCTTTCCACCACTTAATTCTTTCCCTTCTTTCTTTCTTTTTCTTTTTTTTTTTTGAAGTTTTTTACTTATTTGAGAGAGAGAGAGAGAGCAGGGAGGGGCAGAGAGAGAGGGAGATAGAGAGAATCCCAAGCAGGCTCCCCACCAGCAGCTCTGAGCCTGACTCAGGGCTCAAACTCAGAACCATGAGATCATGACCTGAGACGAAACCAAGAGCTGGGCACTTAACTGACTGAGCAGCCCAGGTGCCCCTCCTTTTTTTTTTTTTTTTTTCCTAGGAGTTTCTCTTCTCCCCTGCAGATTGCATTCTTTCCATATAACATTCTGTATACTTAGAGCATCCTGTTTGGTTTCTGGTGCTCAAAAAGAAAAGGAATAGAACACACCTGACAGATCCAGCAAATAAATAACATTCTAAAAGCAAGGACCTCTCTCTGAAATGTCTGCCCCAAAGCCGATAGATGCACGACAAACTGCCATCTCTACGACACTCTCCTAGACTTCTCAATGTGATGATTTAGAAACTTTTCTATTTAGGAGGTTGCAGCCATTTTTGCCGAATTCAGCATATTTATTGAACAATTTCTTGGAGCCAAAAGCCAACTCCACTGTATTTCTGCTTGGTAAGGTTTGGTGGCCTTGGTATGGGGCGGGGGTTGTTGATTCATCAGCCCTTAAACTGATGATAAATCTAGAAACTGGGCAGCAGTACTAGGCTGCCTTAATAGAACCTTTTCAGGGAATCAGCAGCCTCAGTACTTACGGGAAATCTTTGGAAAGGATATCCAGCAAACTCATGTGAAGAAAAACTCCAGAAGAATTCCGGGTAGCAAGAACACTGAGATTTCACATGAGTGGGCATCAGCGAGAACTCTGAACACTCGATGTAGAAGTTGCCGACCTAAAGAGTGCTTCTGCTTCATGAGATACCCATTTCCTGTTTATTTTTAAGGCCTAGATGTCTAAGTCTCATATCGTGAGCATTTATTGGGATGATTCCATTCCCTGTAATATCGTGACAGAGCCCATCTGTTGTGACACACGACATCAGTCTAATTGTATGTGTTTCATCCACGTGCACGTACAGAATCCTCTATCTATCTGGTTTCTCGATGAGAAAAGTATTTTAAATCCTCCTTCCTGCTGCAGAATATAAAACCCTCTGTGAGGGTTACCGAGTGTTATCATTGATACATGTTTTGCACGGAGTTGTTGGGATAAATGAGTACAAGTCATAAGTGAAAATGCCAACATCAGGCAATCCCTCCACCTGAGAGGGGCTGATTTTTTCTAAGACAAAAGAAAAAAAAAGTCTATAAGGGAGTTTTCTCAGTACAGCCATACTTCTTTAGGCCATTCCCCCCAAAGACCGTGGTATGTTCTGTACACAAAATGCAATAGACAATCTGGTGCTAATACACATTTTCTATATCCTGTCTTTTAGCAAACAAATTACTGATATATAACATGATATTTGAGTTGGAATGTGGTCTTGACTTACACATCAGATCTATTTTGATTTAGAGATAATGGTGTGTATTTGTTATCCTTCAACTAAAATACCTCAATTGCCAACTAGAATGTATATTAGTCAAGACATCCTTTTAAAAGACATTATTTTCATGCTCATAAGATGGAAAGGAAAATTTAAAAAAAGGAATCCTGAAATAGGTGCATTTAATTCTCCCCAATTTAAATTTAAGTGGTACATCTTTAAGGCAATAACAATATTCCTTTTTTTCCCCCATCAGGAATGCTTCCATCAATGGATTTCTTTAATGTTGATGGTGGTTGGTGCAGTTTGAGGGAATCTGTATTTAGTCAGAAAATGCTTCAATAGAATGACCTACCAGATGGGCCCCATAACAAAGCACGGAGGCATCAAACCACCACAGACATTTGGTGCTTAGAATAATAAAAAGACTATAAAATGAGATTAGTTGAGTCTAATTTGGAATTGGTATATTCCCCATGCACCCTCGCTGCTCTTGGGCAGATAAAGCCTTGAGATTTAGCACTGTGTCAGAGCAGAAGACTGCAACTTCCAGTAAAGGGAGACGAGGGAGAGGGAGAGAGGGAAAAAAGCATTCTGGGAGGTCGCGGAGGGCAGAGCAGTGACCTCCAATGATTTACAGGCCTTTAGCTTAATGAAATTGTTTCAGTGACATGACGGTAAGAGCTCGTAATGGATTGGATGCCCTAATGTAATGAAATTACTCCCTTCTGCCTAAAAAAAAAAAAAAAAAAAAAAGCGCAATTAATATTTACTGAGACCTGACAGCCTTTGGTGCGCTCGTCTGTGTAGTTCTCTCAGACAGTCAGAGAGCAGAGACGGAGCAGCGTGGCAGACAAGCTGGCTCTGCGCGAGCTCCTGGCGGGGACGAGCAGAGCCTGCCAGGGGTGGAGGGACAGGCGCTAGGGTGGCCGGGGACGCCCGGCCCGGGCCGCCCGGCTCCTCGGCGCTGCCCCCACTCAGCCTTCATGCCCTCCCCTTGCTTTTCCACAGGCAACTGGACAACAACCACATCAGCTGCATTGAAGATGGAGCCTTCCGAGCGCTGCGCGATTTGGAGATCCTGTGAGTTGATTTTGCGACCGCTGCCTTGTGTGCGTGTGCGTGTGTGTGTTGTCCGTGTGAGGAGGAAAGAGGGGGAGTGTGTGTGCAGGGGGGTCCGTGTGGATGCCTTTCTGTGTCTTCTGCTGCAGTGCTATTAAAATTGGGAACCGGGAGATCCCTCTGGCTCACCTTGGCCAAAGTGTTCGCAGGCAGCAAAGTGTGATTTCTCACCTCCCACAAACTGGGGTTCCTGCTAATTAAGTCTCAATTGAGTCCTTTCTCCCCGGTGCTCCCGCGGTATTTGTTGCTGGGTGGAACAGATGGGCTGGAATAGCCCCCCAGCGCCTGCCAGAGCATTCAGGGAGAGTGTGTTTGAGTGTGGGCATGGGAAGAGACAGGTTACAGGTCTGGGAGATGAGAGAGGGGTAAGACCAAGGGGTCAGTAGGAATCACCCAGAATCACAAAGGGACCTTGGCACAGGGCTGGGGGCAGGGGGCGGGGGGGAATGCCAAACAGCCTGGTGAAATCTGGTCATTGCCATTGCTCCTGGGATCTCATCTCGGGTTTAAATCCAAACTTTAAGCAGTAACCTTAAAGTGGCAGGGTGGGAGCAAGATGAGAAGAGGTGGAATCCCACCCTATATAGCTTGTCTAGAAAAAAAAAAAAATTTGTAGGTGCCTTTGTGTGCCCAGATTTTCAAATGGGTCCAACCTGATTTCCGGGGAGTCAGTGGGGATGGGGGGGAGGGTGGAACTCAGCTAGGAATCATCTTGGGGTCATTCAAACTAAAGTTGAATGTGTAAGAAAACATTTTGATTGTTGTCCCCAGAGCGACACTTCTAGCTGTCCCTGATTTGGAAAAGCCCGGAAAGGAAGGCAGTAAAGCCTAGTAGAACTTGTGTCAAGAGATGTGTGGTTCAGTCCCGACTCAGCCCCTAATTAGCTGTGTGACCTTGGGCAAGTCCCTTCTGCACTTGGGATCTCAGTTTTCCCGTTTGGAAAATAGAGGGTTTGTTGCTATATCTTGCAGGCGACTTCCCTTTTCCAAGCTCTGTCACTGCTTGGTTCTAAAAATAATTCTGATGGTACAGTTCTGTCCAGTGAATGATAGGGTAGGATTTGTTGAGCATTCCCCTGAAAATCAAAAATTACATAGTCGCCAGGTTACAGATCTCTGACTTCCAGAAAAATGAATAAATGTCGAACAAATGAATGAGTGAATATGTAAAAACATCCCTTTATACGTGAAGGAAGGTCCTCCTCCTACCTTCCTTTCCACCTGGCCCCTGCAGACAGTAGGCACGGGTTGGAGAAAGCCTCTCCACGTTGTGTGAGAGGAAGGTGATTCCAAGAGGAATCACGGGAAATCAAAGGGGATGCTGATGCTGCAAGGTGCCGGAAATCTGACGAAAGCCACGAATTCCTGGGACAGAAACAGCAGGACCCACAGCCAGGGAGGTCAGGTTGTCAGTCCTAAGACGGATGATGGCTTCTCACCCAAACTCTGACCCCGGAACCGGCGACAAATGCAGGTCTGCTAGGGAGAGGGTGCCAGCCCAATTTAGTGACTTAGGACTTCTCTTATCAAGAGGCTGAGGCTGAGAAGGGTAGGCGCAGGTTTCCCAGCCTGCAAAAAAAGCATTTCGGGAAAGGGCTGCTAGGAGAATTTCACCCTTTTCTTGGGAAGGATGAGAAAATTCCTTGGGAAGAGACCAGGAAATGGAAATCACCAGCTGCCATGAAACAGCTGTGATGACCTGACAGCCTGCATGTAGTTCTCTGCACTGGGAGTGGTGATGCCTCGTCTCAATGGGAGACCTGTCTGGGGCAGAGGATAGGGCTGGACAGTCAGATACTGTGGGTATGGGGTCCTGGGTGCAGTGGGACTCAGGCCAAATGGCTCAACTTCTCTGAGTCTGTTTCCTCAACTTTAAAAAGAGTCAGCTTTTGTACACATAGAAGTGGCTTTCTGAATGCCATCCCATCCACTCCCCTAACTCTCCATCATGCCCGCACCCCCATCAAACCCCGTCTGGGACAGAACTGAACTGCTCCTCTCTATGCCAGTGCTTTGCTATTTTTAAAACATTGGTATATTATAGCATGTTGGTACACCAGGTTTCTCAAACTTGAAGCTTAAAAGCCTCTGGGGTGGGGTGGGGGGGGAGTAGTTCTCCTTCTCTATTATTGCAAAGAGCCCACAGGACCTGATTAGTTTATCTCCTCAATTCCAAACAAAGCCAGATCAATAGCTTTGTTTTAAAGACGCTCTGATTTGGCTTCACATGGCTAAGTACTTAAAATTAATCATAATCATTTATTCCATGGGTTTTTAATTTCCAGCAGAGGCACACGGCTTTGGAACCATCTATCTTAATGGTGAACCATTCTGAAATTGGCTGGAGCCGACATCTCCATTTAAAGAATCTCCTCTCCCCACCCCCAGACCTTCCAAATCTCATTTGCACATTGACATTTTATAATACTTCTCCATAATCACAACTTAGCCATCATAAAGAACCTTGACAATGAAATAATAAATAGGAACTAAGTGAAGGCATCATATATTAACTTAATAAGTTTTTGAGAGAGAGAGGTTCAAAACACCTTATCCCCAGAAAACTCATCTTTAAGTATCAAAAGCTTTAAAAGTCTGCAGATTAAGAAGACAAAATAGAGTAACTTCAGGTGTATTTTCTCTCTGACATTAGGCAAAAACAAGGAAAGCCCATGATTATTCCATGGAAAGCTCTCTCAAAATTAACTTAAGGAAAGTTTGTGGATGTCAACTAGTGGAAATATTTCACAAGGGATCCCCCTATTATTTCATCCTTTCTGCGGATGAAAATGCTGTAAAACTTCTTCCCATCCAGGCTGGGGTTGGTCTCACAGGATACACTGAATGGGAACTTAGGAGGTGAGCCTGGGAGAAACACTGGCAGTAAGAAGAGAGGAATGGGCACAAGGCTGGAAAAGACTGTGACACCTGCTCTCTTGATCCTCATTTTTGGCTCATACCCCTGAGGAAGGTCTAGCAGAGAATATGGTGAACAAAGGAAAAGAGCCACCACCCTTCTCCCCTTTACAGGTAACCAGAAAAAGGGCTAAGGAAAAACAAACAAACAAAAAAAAAAAACACAGCGTGAGTGAAATTTCTCAAGGCTCCAGTGCCACCAAAGAAGAATCATGGTGCACATGGTACTGCCTTTGTAGCATTTGTTGCGCAGTTATCCGTGCCCAACCGTGCTTTTACATACCTTGCCTCTCTGCATCCTCACAACCCTCCATGAAGCTGCCATTGTCATCTCCCTCCTTCTGCAAAGGACCCATCTCATAGAAGTCAAGTAACTGCTTAACTAGTAAGCAGCAGAGCCTGTGTGATTAACCATTCTACCAAGCTGCTTTACTGATCTGTGTGGCCAAGGCCCTCGTGGTGTTGGCTCCCTGAAGCATGGCCAACATGTGACACACAGTGATGTGAACCGGACCCCAGAGCCAGGCTAGGCGAGCTATCAGAGAGTTTGGAGCCTCCCACATGCTTGTGAAATTGTCTTTTTTTTTTTTTTTTTTTTTTTTTTTACCCAGTGAATGGGTCCCCACAAAGTTGAAGGTAAATCAGACTTGCCAGGGAAAGAAAATAATCCCACTTTCTCACCGACTCACATTCTGGTCCCAGGTGTGATTTATTCTCACTTCTGGACATCACCATTTGACTTTGACACTCAGTGGTTTGTTGGCTCCATTCTTCAGACCTTCCCATGATATAGCCCCAGCTTTCTGTATGGCCTTAAGGTCCTTAACTGAGAGTTTCTACGACTCAGACACCTTCTGTTACCCAAATCACTGGCCTTTCATTTCCACCTGTTCTATACATTTGGCGATTCACTTAGTCTGTTTCCTTCTGGTTGTGTTTACACTGCCTTCGAATATGGCAAGACTGCATTTCTGACTCTGTGTGGTCAGGAATCATTTGTTGCGGTACCCTGAGCCGTGGGTTTCCTTGACTGTCAGGTTGAGGACAGCCAGGCATTTCGCCAGTAATACCAGTCACCTCCCTGCCCAACATGCCATCCTGGGTCAGAAATCTGTTTAATGAAAAAAAAAAAAAATTAAGCATATGGAAAAATGAAACAAAATGAAAAAACCTACTTAATAAAGTAATTAACTTTTTTCAATAGTACTGTGGGAGAGGGAAAAAGATTTTCAGACATTGTCTCCCGACTTTATGCAGCAAATCAGAAGTTTAGTAGATGTGCTGCCAAAAAATGCCAAACCAAAGATGTCAGGAGCACAGCCCGAAAATGCTCATACATACCAGTGAGTAGCCTGCCCTTGATAAACCCCTGGTACCAGCTAAATTGTATGCAGGTCCAGCACATCTGCAGATAACTAATGTGTGCTGTTTGAAGGGCTCGCTCCACTTATGTCACTTGCCAGTTTTTGAAATTCAGCGAAATTATTGTAGGCGGGGCCGGGAAGGATCTTAGTTGTCTCCAGAATGACCTCTTATTTTGAGATAAGGCACAGGAAGATTGAGAGCAGGTGAGAGCGAGGACCAGGCCACATAACGTTTGGCCCGGGAACCCTGCTTCCCTTACCCTTGTCCAAGCTCTGGCTAGGACATTCGCCGAGGGAAAACAGCAAGTTAGTGGCAGCAAAGGGTCGACAATCTGGGTCTGCAGACCCCTGATCCTATGTTCTTTTTCCACATTGGACACCTCCATGCAACTACGCTATTCAGAAAAAAAAAAAAAAAAAACCCTCAGTAAGATCAGGGATCCTAAGCACAGCTGTCCTTTCAAAACCATTATTAAGTGTTTGCTGTTATTTAGGAGATTGGGGCTAGGGGGCAAACGTTAGTACATGACAGAATCAAGGAATGATTCTGCTTTCAGCTCTCTTAAAACCAGAGGTTGCAAACTAGATAGATCACAGACCATACTGCAGCCACAGATGAGTTTTTAAAATCTCGTTGAGTAGTTTTTCATTGAAATCAGCATTTTGTATTTTAAAATTACA